GTAGGTGAATAGACGGGCATGGGCATACGGGAGTTTACTGAACAACTTTCTTACAGATTTCAATTTTTTCACAATAAAATGTTGAGGGGGTAGGAGTTCTTATGTAACACTTGGAAATTCACTATGGGACAGTAGGGCCTTGGTTAGAAAATTCAGTAAGAGACCAAGCATTGGGCTGTGAGCAATGCAGGCAATGGCTTTTTCCCACCTTTAAGATTAGAGCTGGACTAGCACTAAGGTGCCATCTGAATATAAATATGAGTAAAATGACTTGAGACCACTTCCAAATATTGTAAGAGTGTTGTCTAAGGCATCAAACTATCAAGATCAAGAAAAGGCTGAAAACATGGAGAGATTTTCTGTACATTTCAGCTATGATACATGTCATTGTGGTGGAATGTATCAGCTCAAAAGTCCTCAATCCAACATGCATGGGAGGTCCCCACCATCTTGGCGTCACACCTCATGACTTGTTCCTTCTGTTTTACTAACACTGTGGTTCCATTATCACTTCACCTTGTCCTTCTCACTTTAGGGAATGTGAATGCTGTCCCTTTATTGACAATTTTTTTTTTTTTGGTAGTGTACTGATGTTTGAATTTTAGGGCCCTGAGCTTGCTAGGCATGTGCTCTACCATTTGAGCCACATCCCCAGCCTCAAGAAACTCCTTTCCTTTCCCTCTGTCCCCGGCATTCTTAAATCCCAGCTTCCTTTGGCCCACAGACTGGATAGGGCACTTTTCACCTCACTCCCAACCATAGCACATATAAAGTAATCTAAATTACTTATTTGACAACAGAGATGCTCTGTGACAATGGTTTGACTTGATGGTCTTTTGACTTTATAATGGTGTGGAAATGATCTACATTCAACAGATACTGCTCTTCAGATTTTGGTCTTGCAACTTGTCTCAGGCAAGCACTATGAAGTCTGATCCTCTCCTGATGCTGGGCAATGCCAGTGACGGCGCTCCCACTCAGTCCCATGATCAGGAGGAGCACACCAATACTCCACGGCGTTCTGTGTTGCTAAGATGTGCAGCAGATTGGATGTATTCAATACATCTTCAACATAACGATGTTTTCAATTTATGATGGGTTTACCAGACCATAATCCCATCATATGCATCCATGTGGAATGATGAGTTTTCTCATTAGAAAAGAAGCTCCACAAGGGGAGGTACTGGCCTGCTGTGCTCACTCTTCTCCAGCAAGTGACCTGCAGATGATAGGAGTGGCTCACATACACTGAGTGTGTATGAGGTGTCAGGCTCTTCTGAGTGCTTTGCGCATATTCATGCATTTAAGCTCCCATTAGGCTCTGGAATATTTGTTGAAGAACCCTTCTCTTTTTCTCTATAAAGGACAATCACTCAACAAATATTTATTGACATCCAGAAAGTGCCAGACATTGCACTTCATAAAAAGGATAGAGCAGTAAATAGCAGGCCCATCTTACCTCATTGAGTCATCTGGTGGGGAAAGCACTCAAAGAAGGAGCTGTGCATCAAGTAACAAGTACTAAATATGGAGGAAGTACAAGGCATCTAGTAAAATATTCCATGTTTTTAAAAGTTGTCCACAATTATGTTAAACTTAAAAAAGTAACTGGAAAACCCATCCATTCATTTAACCATTTAACTAGCAGCCACTCATTCTCTAGTAGATTGGACACTGTGCTGAGGTTTTTGGTACAAAGATGAGTAAGGTCTGTCTACACACAGCAGAGTAGACAGTCTGGCAGAAGGCTATGCAAAGAATCAGCTATCTCATCTGATAAACGCCAGGGTGGAGGTATACATGATGCACGTTCACTCAAAAGCCGCTGTTTATGTGGGAATTTATATTCCACTCTGGCTTTTCTAATGTTGCTCCACCTACCTACCCAGTCTAGACTTTCATTACTCTCATGAAATTCTGTCCTCAGGTTCAGCTTTATTTCTAGCATGGTCCCCCAGAGACCTACTGAAATAGAAAAAATGCTCATTTAAAAAGATTGTATAAAGAGTAAATGAAGCTAACTCATAAGCAGTGAATGTTACAGAGTATTAGCCACTATTTCTATGGAGACTAAATGTGGTTAGGACCCTCCCAGCTCCTGCCCTCTACCCTGTGATCATGTTGCCCCTGCTTCCAGAGTGGATTCTGCTAAGTACATCAGGGCTCAGAGAATTCAATTTGAACCCATGGTCACAGAAGTTATGTAAAATTTAAGTGGAAACCAGAGTAGAATCTTCTGCTATCTAATAAGGAAAACGCTAAATAAAAATCACACACAACTCCCAACTTCTCCCCTGCAAAAGTCAAAACACACAACACCTGCAAATGAGTTGAACCTTGTAGGGTTAAAAGTGTAATTTTATTTAGATGTTACTTGTACATAATCTATAGTAAGATATACAAACAGATAAAAATTGTTTGACAGTTTTTTAATACCACTTTCAATTTACAACTGCTTTGATAATACTGCAAGATGACATATACTTTGCTTCATAAAACAAAAATTACTTGCTACTTTGGCTGATACATTCCCACTAGTCTTTAATGGATTAAAATGTATCATATATTTCAGTTGCAAATATTACAAAACTTTCACAGCTTAGCCACTTGATGTTCATAAAAATTTTACTGAAATAAAGACATTAATTTTCTAATAGCATCCTTAGTAAATAAAAATGTAAGTGTACCAAATCTCATGGTTTGGGGTTAGCAGTGAAAATCACTTGCCTTTTGCCCAGCCACATCATGCTGTGTAGTGATGGGTGGACTCAGGCATCTGTACCTGTCCTGAGTCTATGCTGTGAGGAAAAGCTTATCAGCTGTTCAGTTCCAATACATGTGGAGCAGTAAAACCAGGGACAACCTAAAATAACTTTATAATTTATAACTGCTATTTAAAACATAAAATCAACAGAAATGAAATATGCTGTTAAGTAATTTTCTTAATTTGGTAAATACTTTTTGAAAATGAAAACTAAAAATTCAAACTCTTCACTTTGTTCTTTTCATACAGTATTACATTAGAAGAGATCTGGATTTAAATTTTAGATTAAGTCAAATTTGGTGAAAAGATGCTCTAAAATAGTCTAAATTGGATTTTAGTCATTTTCCAGTCTTTTAAAGGTTATAGAACACATAAGGGGAAAAGTCTTCTCACTAGTCATTAAATCAAATTAAAAATAACCTGTTGATTAAACTTCAGAAAGATGACTAACAATAGGCTTATGAATATTTATGAATAAAGTGCCACTAATTTTATTGTAATAAGATGTAAATAGAAGAAATCCTGACATGGCTAGTAGCTTTAATGTATTCTCTCCCTCTGAGAACAGAAGGGCCATACAAAACAGAGAGGTGTTCCCAAATGTGAATTCTAGAATTATACAGGGGATGCCTAACACAAAAGTAACAATAAATGAAATTATAATGACAAAATAATACTAAAAATGGCCAATGTCGTGAGAATAAAGTCAACACAGGAGGCCGCCAAATAAGAAAAAAGAGAAATTAAAGGAAAAAAAATTAAAGTTTATTAATAACTACTAATATTCAAGAAACTTACAGTGACAGCCAAGCAGGGGCAGGCTCCAGGCCAAGGGCTCAAGAAGCCCAGGCCAGGCAGTGGGCACAGCTGAGAGGACTCAGATGCACGGCTGAAACAGGGCCTTGGAAGGGGGCTGTGGCACTGGACTTTTTCAGTGTCAAAATCTGTGACTAAAACCTAGAACAGGTTACATGTGGTTTTCAGAAGTCAACAGGTATTTACTCAGAGACACATGAGGTGATGAGGGCAGCTGGTTGATGTTCCCCAAATCAGTGAACAAAAAATTGTTTGTAACCACACTGCTGACATTCTTTGTCAACTCACACAACTCTGGTCTAGCTCAAAAGTCTTCCTTTTCTCAGAACTGAAAGTGCAAGTAGGCAAGAACTCCTCAGGAAGCAAGCCTCAGTGAATTTGTGATAGCCTATCTGTAATCCAGGCTGAGGTCAATTATTCTCAACAAGCAGCTGTCTTTCATCCAGACCCACAAATCAGAGGCTATTCCTTCTCAAGTCCCTGGAGCATGCTTGAGCCAGGTCTGTGCGATCATTCTGTGGGAAGAAGGCCAGGGAAGGCAGAAGTGAAAACAGGGTGCTCTGCCACACTTATGGGCCAAATCAGGGTTATCTTGTGAGGTACAAAATTCAATGTGCCAACAACAATATGAGTTAAGAGAATCATGTGCTTTTATTTATAAAACAGGGAGAAGACCCCGCTCATGGGGCTGACCTCTAATCTGGCCATAGTACCATGGAAAGTGACTAGCTGTCTATTTCTTTCACCTAAACCTAAGCTTTTAACATTCAGAGCAAGTGAAGCAACGTGCCAACTGAAGGTCTTTCTGTTAGGCACTGAAGAGCTAAGAACTACCAGCAGCCTCACAGAGAATTTCATTCCCAGGAATGAAACAAGCAGGTCCTTTACATTTGGGGGCCCACAGGTGGCAGCTCTGCCCAGCCAGGCACTGCAGTCCCTGGATGGCTCATGTCTGCTCCGTCTGGCCAGTGCCCAACTTGTCAGAGCTGGCCAATATCAAGTCATCCCAACGATCTTTGAAGGAGAAAGGCTCTTGTTCCCATGTGCATTACTACTGAGCTGCTGCAACCTCATACAAAAATCATTAGCAAGCATTTACCAAGTGAATGCCCACAGGGCACCTAGCCTGAGAAGAGCCTTTCCAACTTCACATTTGACAAGTGTGCACAAAGGCAATGAAATTATTCAACAGAGCACACAAAAATTCAAGCTAAGATACTGGATACAGGAACATTGGATTCTCCTGATTTGTTAGACCTTTCCCTGTAGAACCAATCTCTGAGATTCATTGTGGAAAAAAAAAAAAACAAGCAAATATTAAAACAATATCACTTACTGATCATAAGACATCACTGACACACAGTCATTAATCTTGCAGAGACCTGACAACAGGCAGCTTCACAAACACACAGCAAGTCCACAGAGTCAATGATCAGTAAGAGTACAGTAAGTACTATCATGGCCAAGAGGGAAGCAGAACGCTGTGTTCAGGGCAATGTGATAGTTAGAGCATATCTCCTTGTGTGCAGCACAATGTGCTATGGTTAGTGGCACTTACGTATTACACAGTAAATACTGAAACAACCCAGAAGTTTTGGATGTGCAGAAGCATATCACACTGTTAATACAAAAGGTGCTAAGCTACGGATTATAATATCACTATTTGGGTGCAGAGACCACGTGAATCCCCAGCACACTTCCACACAGTGTCCTGGCTGTCCACCTGCCACTTGCCCCATGTGGCTCAGTCGGACCAGTCGTTCTCATCAAACTCAGAGTCGTCATCGGAGTCACTGTACTCCACAGCGATGCGTCGGGACAGGATTGTGGCCACATCATTCCCGACAGGCTCACGCTTGGCCTCCTGTTCACGCTGCTCCTGCACCTTCTTCAGCTGAATTCCTACACACAACATAGGGTTGAGAGCCAAATCCCCTTGCTTTTCAAACAGGTCTATTGTTTTATCCTAGGCATTTCTACTGAGCTAAGATAAAAAGTTTTAGAAATTTGAGGGGAGAAAAGAATGTACAAAGTCCATTTTAAGAAAGTAAGTTATAATTTCAGTGCACATGGACATCATCAATGTTCTCTAGAACAACGTGCCATATAGTAGCACTAGCTACAAGGGAGCTCTGTAAGCATAACAGCCACCACATGAGATGTGTCAACATGTCCTATCACATGACACAGAACACTTTATGGGACAGTACTGTAGCCCAACGGCTTGGAAACAGTGTCCTGCACTAATAGTTCTCAGCTAAACTTAGGAAACAACAGAAACCTCTGTCCTAATAATTATTGCTATTGTGTTAACTGTCCAATTTCTTAGTACTGTACAAAATACAGTATCAAGTGATTTAATGTTTATCAATTTTTAACTTTTGATATATTTCAGATTTATAGAATAGCTGTAAGACCATTCTTACATTCCCATTCTATGGGAAAACATTCCCATAGAATCCTAACTATAACCCCAGATTCCCCAATCTTTGTCATACATATACACAGAGACACTTTTCTCTGGATCACTTGAGAGTATGTAACATATAATATGCCTTTACTCCTCAAAGACATCATGTGTTATTTCCTAAAGAAAATATCAAAATCAGAAAATTAGCATAGATACAATACTATTTATCCTATAATACCCGTTGCCAATAAACCAATCTAATGACAAACGAAGAAATTTCCTTGCTTCAGCATCCAACCTGTCCTGTACACTATCAGTCTGTTGAAGTCCTTTATCTGGACAGTTCTTAGTCTTTGTGTTCACAGCCTTCACCTTTGTGAAGAACAGAGGCAGTCTTGTGCATCACATACCTCAGTTTTTGTGTTATCAGATGTCTACGCATGGTAGTTTCTGGTTATGTGTCAACTCTTACCAGACATGGTCATATGTGTTGAAAACAAGTCCAACACCATCTTACCATGACTGTAAAGTTGATGTTCCTAAGGTATTCTACTTCTGGAACTTCATTGCTTGATTAAACCAATATATATCAATGACGTTCAAGATACACAGAGGACCCTGAGGTCTTTGAGGGAGGACATGACACATGACCACCCCAGGCTGCGACTGGTTAAGGGTGAATGGTATGAGATTCAGGTTTTTCCATGGAGCTCTGGGGCCAGTTGAAACAGGTGAGTGGCCAAGCTCTTAACCCTGATTCCACCCAATATACTCTACTCTCTCTGTTCCAGAGACTGGAGGTCAAGGTAGCACTTCCATCTGAGGAACCATTGTGCTGCTAAGTAAATGCTAAAACCCACTGGCTTAGCATATCAAGTTAAATAAAGTCTAGAACATATCCTAGATTTTTTTCTGGAAAATGAAATCATTGATGTGAGCTTATTTTCTTTCATTTATACTTGTACCCTAGAGTGGAAGGTGGAGAAAAGATCCCATTCATTAACTGATCATACCTGTTATCTAGTTTCTGGTTTCTAGTCAAGTAAAGCTTTCTTGAATTCTCACTTACCTATCATAATGTGTTTTCCTGACACCTGCAAAAGAACTATTAAAAAAAAATCAAATAAGTCTCCTTTAATTCTATCCTAAAAACAATGTAGACAGTGGTTATTTGAAGGCAACAAGGCTCTAGCTAGTTGGAGACCTAAAGGAACCTCTTCCTTAAAGGAAAGATATGAATCTCAGGTGTCTACTTACCCATCCGGATAGCAGCAAGGAGGTCACTTCGAGCGTCACTTATGGGTGGCTGTGAAGGCTCTGGACGCTTTGCCTCAGCCCCAGGGGGGCCATGCATTGGGGAGGATGAAAGAGAAGAGCCGGGGCCAGGAGGACCTGGTGGTGGAGGCGGTGGGCCTGGAGGTGGTGGTGCTGTAGCCAGGAGCCCAGTGGAAGGTGGGTGAGGGGGCACTGGGTATGTGGAGCCAGCTGACGTTGGGAAGGGAGGCTGTGTGGGGATTTGGAGAGGGCTGACGAAGGCAGTTTGCGCCGAGGGAATCATAGGTGGAGGGGGGGAGGAGGAGGTCCTGAAGGGGTGTAATACTCGATTATCTGTGTCGGGAGCATCCTAAAGAACAGATGGAACACAGAGTCACCCAAGTAACTATAGAGGGTCATGTCCCCAAGTTCTAATATGCCTAAAAGAGAAGTCCTCCAGATATAACACATCCTGACAGCTGGACCTGAAGCACTGCAGGATGCAAATATCCACTGCTCAGGCCAGCTGTTTTCACAATTCTACATTATTCATTATGATGGATGCAAGACTCAGTGAAATGGACAGACAGTAAAATGGTTTTATGTGGACTGCAGAGATCACAATACAACAGTAATCCTCCTTCATCTTGGATATCTCAAAGATATATGGCTCAGAATCTTGTTTCATGAGGGATCTGAGGCCAAGCAGACTGGGAAAATTTTGCAATCTCCAGCCTAGTCCCATGAGACTGCCTAAGTCTATGGTGCCCAGCTGAATGACAAATGCTTTGAAAAGTCCTGCAGCCAGAAATCAGCTCCATTTTATTCAGCCACACAGTTTTCCAGACCGACTGGACCATGGACCCTCTCTGTGTCTGACACAGTAGCCTCACTGGGAATCCTGGCTTACCAATGACCAACAGACAAGTGACACCAGGACTGCATGGTCTCACCTTTTAGGGTTGTGGGCATACATTTAGAAAGGGACACTAGTGATCTGGGGTATACATATTGCCCAAGGCATATATTCAATTTTCCTGGGCACTGATTCTGAGGGGGGCCATTGAAGGTTAGGGTGAAGCCAAAAAAAGAACTGAAGATAGTTTATCAAAATAAAGGTGGGTGCTCAAATTGAAGAACACATGAATAGGAATAAACGACTTTTATCAGCTGTGACAGGCATTCCCTGTGGTCCACCCAGGATATGGAGACAAACTGGAGGGTTTGGACAGGTTCATAAGTCAACATTTTGTCCTTTATCAATACCTGCCAATATGTATGCAAAAGACACACATACATAAAAACAGCTATCAACCTGAGATGGAGCATAATAAGAAAGGGTCGAGTCAGGCATGGTGGCACACACTTGTAATCCCAGCTACTCAGGAGGTAGAGGCAGGAGGATTGTGAGTCAAGGCCAAAGTTAGGAAGATCCTATATGAGAAACAAAATACAAACAAAAGGGCTGGGAGTGTGGGCCAAGTGGTAGAGCGCTTGCCTAGCTTGAGTGAAGTGCTGGATTCAATCTCCAGTTACTCTATCACTGATAGTGGATCCCTTATAATGTCCATATCCAACCATTCTTGACTGTATTTGGCCTCTAAAACATCAAGTATAAAATTCTTCTACCACAACTAGCAAGACTCAACACAAAAGCAAGTAGTGACCAGGAATATCGATTTACCCATAGTCTACTGGAGCCATTGGTGCAGAGGCCTGGGACCCTTCTGGGGCCTGGGGGGGAGGTGGGGGTGGCGGCTGCTGAGGTCTGTTTAGGGCCATGTGCCTTGCTGAGGCAGATGGGGGCCGGTACTCATGCTCAGAGGCCTGGTTTGGGGTCCCATGTGGTGGTACGTCGCCAGCTGCATAGGAAGGGGTCACTGGCTGCGGGTGCAGAGAGTGATTGGGAGTAGCTGGATAAGAGTAATCCGTAACATCTGATGCATGGGACCTGATGTTGGAGAAAAAGGGGTGGAGAAATTTACCCTAGGCTTTTAAAAAAATGCCCCTAACAGGTAGAAGCATATATATGAATAATAACATTGCCAATGCATAAGAATCAGACATTTTCTTCCTTTATAATCAACTAGGTCTAGCCCCATGACAGCTTCCAGGCAACAGCATAATTACTATTTTAGCAGCAAGCCCCAGTGTTACGTGGATTCAGATTCACAGCTTTGAAGTGAATAAGTCAGACAGATCGGCAAGCAGGAACCAGCAGAGCCTCATTTTTCACAGCATTTCACGTACTTCTTTTCTAAGACACAAGGCTACAAGACAAATCCTATTTCATTTAGAAACAGCACCTTAGACAGAGGATTTCAGCAGCAATGAAACTGACAGCATATAATTAGAAATACAAAATGGCAAGTGAACTGGATAAATATTAACAGTAAGAACAAAAAAAAAAGTCTAGAATGCAACAGAGTGAACCATATTTTTCTTAAACAGAAGAAATGTATTTAACCCAAAGAGGAAGGAGCAACATGGTGCACTATGGAAAGGCTTCTTGGTTTTTGAACACACAGGCAAGTGTGAAATTCTGGAAGGAATGGAAACCTTGTATTAGTGAGCAAAGCTCATGAAGATGCTGAGTGCTGGGCTGCCAGGTCACCTTGGGAGGAGATCAAGGACTTGCATACGTGGCAGCCGCACAGCCACAGGCATTAGTAACAGGCACGCACTCCCACCCAGGTTACAGGACATGTGTCAGTAGGGGCTACACATCCTCTCATAAGGCTGAAGCAGTGGGCAGCCTGGGGCTGGGAATCAAAGAAAGCAAAATGACAAACCCTCTGGACATCCTGTCCTCTTTCGTGCTCCCTGCCTGTTCCAGTTTCTTTGCGTCACTCATAAATTCAATGCCCATTTTCCTTCTCTCCCATTCTTCTTTTCTTGTTCTGACTTTTCTCACATGTACTTGCTGGTTCCTGTTAGGATTCAGCTTATGTTTCTCTCTCTGAGGAAATAGGCAAACACACATTGGGGATATGGAGGGAGCAAAGAAGATACAAACTGAATTTCCACCTTTGGGATTCAGACATAGCATTCCCTAACTGGAGCACTCTGTGGCACAGAAAAACTTGCTAAATGAGAACAGCCTGTTCTTCCCTCTTTTCCGTCTCCTAACTGCAGTATAATAACTCATTTTTCTTCCCTAATTGTAGTATGAATTCTAGATTGTGGTGTATATGTAAGACTGTCTTCTTAACTCTGCCAACTGCTACCAAATGAGTTGAAAATACTTTAATGGGAGAAGGATCTGACCTATATTCAGATTTAGTACATTTCAAAAATGTAAATACCTAAAACTCTAGGGTCATGAGGACATGTATTTGACTCTGTCTGTATAACTATACCAGTGACATGTTGGGCACTTTCTAAAGGAAACAGTCATCCAGCACAATGTGGAGAGCTACTGATGAGATTCAGGGCAAGACATTGCACACACTCTGGCATACATGAATATTATCCTTGTAAAGTGGTTTTGCAACACAGGGCCAAAAAGAAGCCAAGACAAAGGGGCTGCTAACCAGCTAGAGACAGTGGCAAAGGTAGAGGCAATGAGTGTGTGAAGGAGAAATGAGAGAAGATTTCTTCAGGGCAGGTCTCTGGTGAAGGGTGACAACCAGGAGGACAGGATAGGAGAAACAGAAGTGACCAGAGAACAGGATGATGTCAGCAGGCAGAGGCAGGTCAGCTGCTGAAGACTGACTCAGTGGGTTGGTAGAAGTCAGCTATGAGCCACTATGACAATGGAGATGAGTGTTCCTGAAGCTCTGTGATTACCAGAAGCCATCTGTTGCAGCAAAGATGTGGGTGAGGGTGACATCGAAACCAGAAGTTGGTCCAATAGTGGGGACTCAGTGGGAGAATCCTATAAATCCCCATTTTTTTTGGAGGGGGGAGTGGTGGTGGTGATAGACAGGAGTGCTGGGTCAGAGTGCTGTAACAGGGCCCAGAACTGGATGAGAGAAAACAAGACTGGTTGGCCAGAGGTGTAACGCTCCCTGTGTGTGCTGAAAGAGAGCTGGTTATATGGGAGATAAGCATTTCATCAACTTGCATCTTAAATTCACGCTTAGAAACAAACCATGGCTAACGTTCTGTAGAGAGACAGCAAAAATTTAAGATTAGTTTATGTGAAGTTAAAGTATATTACTTATATCACTGGTTTATATACATGCTATGAAACTTGATGTTAAATTTCTCTTAGTGTCTTGAGTACTCGCAGATATAACCATTAAAAACCATGTTTCTAAATAATACTTAAAACAGGAAATATCTTTTGAAAAAAGTCAAAAGAAAAAACATGGTATGAGTCTAATTTTGTAAAAGAAAAATTGCACAGAAAAAGATTAAGGAGAGATACACTAAAATGTAAAAAGTTTTCCTGGCTGATGGAATTATGGATATTTAATTTTAATTTCTTTCTGTAATTTCCAGAATATATTAAGTATGTCATATTTCATAGTAAGAAACAAAGGTATACATTTTTGTAAAACAAAACATTAAACATTCTAAATTAATTTAAGGGATATAATCCAAGCATAATTATGATCTGTAATCCATTTATCTGTTAGTAAATAATGTATGCAAATAGTTAGCAAGTCAGAGGAAACAGTATGAAACAAAAGGAAATGCTGAAGAAATAAAATACAATCTTATTTACTTTGAAAAACAGTGAAATGAAGATATATATCTAAACAACATTAATACAAAGGCAGAATACTAAATAATTCAAATAACCATCAACTTCATGCATAACATGGGACAATCTAATCTCTAGGACGTGTATCAATCATTCAACTGAGGGATCAAAATAATCCACCACTTTTCCATTTGCATCTGTTAAGAAAAAGAGCATATATGGAGTTTTGCAAAAACTAAACCCAAACATACATTGAGTAGATCTTTAAACCAAGACTTTCATAAATTATTTGGGAAAACTAAAAAGCAAACTGACATCAATGTGAGCTATTAAATTCACTTATTTCTCCCTACCCAAACACATGGATCATCCTTATTTTCTACAGAAATAAACTGAAGCTAAAATTCAAATATAAGGCTAGGACTCAGTCAAAGCTCCAACAGTTCTCTAATATTGAACAAGCAACAGCTCTTTAGAATAATTACCTAGAACTTGCCTTGCACCTTGGAGGTGACTTACAGGCCTAAATGGGCAGAAATTAAAGGCCCAGTAACTACCAGATGCATCTCCCAGCAAGCACCTATCCAGCACCTTCAGTGTGGTAGATCTGCACTACATGCTAAGGTTACAGAGGAAAAAAAAAGAAAGAACAAAAAGGTCAAAGTTGTTATTTTTGAAAGGTTCTTGAATCACATAAAAATTCTCTGTGCAAATTTTTAAATGCTGAAGACTTTAAGAATTCATGCAAATAGAAGACTTTATAAAATCAGAAGCAGGAAATTAACCCAAAAGTTAAAATTAACTAGTGAGTTTCTGTCATCCTGTCATCCAGTGAATTGTTTTGTGACAAATGTGGCTTAGTGACCACATCATTCATATCTGTAATAAACATTTTTACTTAAGGCTAACAAATTTTTAAAGTAAACTCTTCCAGAATTCTCCTGAAATTAGAAATTAGTTATCTGAAGTAAGTATCTCCGTTTTGTCTATCACTTTTCAAAAGGTTATCAAAAAGAACAAGGTCTTCCTGAGTCAGTAATCACCACTGATCATTTTTAGATAACAAAAAGCAAAGGAAATTTAAAATTTCAAGCTAACGATAAAGGATTAAATGTTATTTAAGTAAAACTGAAGCCACTGGCAATCATCCCAAGTTCAGAATCAATGTTGAAACACTACCTCTAGAATAACTGAACAGTAAATTTAAGAGTTTAAAAAGCAATCTACTATAACCCAAAATGACGCTGCCATAAAGTATTATTTCAAAGTCAAAAAATGTATGTAAGTAATTTTTGAGGAAAGTTTTGAAATATATTTGGGACACATAAATCCAAGGCTACTGGTACATTTCCAATTGAAAATAAACGCAGGTAACACACAATGGTCCCAAGCACGGCAGGAAGGGACTGTGACACACACACACCTAGTGTCTGGGGACAGGGATCCCTCGGAAGACGCTCCGTGGTGCACACTCTGAGACAACCTGTTGTCGGGTCTAAGCTCTTTGTCATATGCCATCATATTCCACTCCTGGCGCCTGTTTCTGGCTTTTCTAACCTTTTTCACCTCACGGGTGGTGCCATCTATACGCTTTTGCTCCTGATGTCCAGGAAGGGAAAGAAAGCATGCCAAGACAGAAGGGAAAGGAAAACAGCAGGTTAAATGCAGTTGCAATGCACGGGAAACAAGCCTGATGCACACATAAGTGACTTTCACATTTCCATTACTGTACTGGGAAGAAAATTCTAAAGTGGCATATGTATTCCTCTTATCCAAGAGAAAGTAACTGATACTTGGCTCTTTAAATAAGCAAACAGCTACTGTGCTATAACCTTAAGAGTTGCTTACCATCATTTTTGGTAAAGAACTCTTACTTTGCTAGGTTTGTTTTATATGTGTCACACCTTTTAGATCTGTACTACACATGTGAATTACTGGACAATGCCATTCAGAGAAATTATTTCCCACAACTACTCAATTTTGCCCAACTTGTTAATATACAACAACTACCTTTCAAAGCAAACAATTCAAAATGTTCTACTTCCAATTTCAAGAATTGCTACAGAATATTCAAAGTACCCCTAAAACTAGCTTAACATATTGCAAAACAAGATAAAACTTACCTGCCCTTAACAGAGCCATTTCTTGCTCCAGCCCTATTTGCCAGCCAAAACATAACCAATATGTACTGAGATCCCATGTAGGTGCTTCTTCAAGTGAGGATAGTTACTTCTATGTGCTTCTTCCTGCTTTCCTCATAAGAGTTTATAATCTTTAAGGATGAACAGTATGTGCCTTTACTGCCTACTCTCCTCTCTTACACACCTCAGTGTGCTATTTTACATATAGCACACACTGAATAAATGTTGGCTAAATGATCAACTCCTCACCCTCAAGAATGAATTGACTCCATTCTAGGCACTGCCTCAGATGCTGAAGACACAAATGGCAAACAAACAAAGAAAAGATAAGACATGGTCACTGTCCTCACAGAGCCTGTTACCCAGCAGGGAAAGTCTGTAAGATGACATAAATAAGTGTGTCATTATAAAATGTGGTAAAATATAAATGTATTTATATATTAAAATATTTTCATATTTTAAATAAATGTATTTTAGACATAAATATTGTATGTTTACATACTTAGATTATATAGCTGTGTCTTTATATATTTAAAACATATATACAGTTCAAGCACTGTCTAGTCTGGAAGTCATGAAGGTATCCTGCACCAATGTATAGACCAGATCTGTATCATGAGTAGGCATTGATTTTGCACAGAATGTGACTCACTGAATGCCAAGAGGAGAACACAGAATGTGCTGTGGCCCAAGGAGGAGGGACAGCATCACATTAGGAGAAATTAAAGAAGGTAAATGGTAAACTGGGGCAAATGGCCTAAGATCTGAGAGGCAGGCAAGACCTTAAAGACCATGCTAAACATTTTCTTCTTTATCCCATCAGCAATGAGAAACTATTGAAGAATGAGTAGATACAGGTTGATGTGGAGAGGAGGCATCTGAAAAGACCTCTCTAGGCTGTGGAGAACATATTAAAAGGGAAAAGGCAGGGGCATCAGTTAGACAGCTACTAAGGAGGCTGAGGTGAGAAGGCAGATGGCTTAAGGGTGGAACAAGACATAGAAGTGGACTGTTTTCAGAGGTGGTTGGGGTAATGAATCAGCAAAGAATGGACGTGAAATTCACAGAAGATACAGAAATTGGTAATAAGGATACAAAAAAGATATGTAGTATAGATGAGATAGAACACTCATTAAAATAATATTTGGGGCTGGGAAAGACCTGTTAGGAATATGAACTAATCCTTCAGTCTTTTAAGTGACAGAGACAGTATGACAGTGTCTTTCAAATCTTAAAACTCACATTCTATTTACTAGCAAGTCATTCAACTTCCAGAAATTTACCCTAAAGAAATAGCTACACAAATGCAGGAATATCCATTGCAGTATTGTAACAGCAATAATTTTGAACCAAATCATATTTGTTAACCCAGTAATGGGTAAATAATTTATGAAGCATTTCAGAGTACTATCCAACTATTAGGGCTAAAACACATTTTTCACATGTCTGTTGTACAAATCATGTGTAGCATGGTTTTATGTATATAAAACACTTTGTTAAATGTGTACACATGTATTTATGCATGCTTAAAAAGTCTAACAAGATGCACACCAAACTATGAACAGTGACTATATTATCCCTGGAGAGACAGGCTTTTATTTCATTCAGAGCTAGGTAAAGAAGAATTAACCTAGAAGGTAACAGACATGCACAGGAAATCAATATGAGTCAACTCCCTGTATAGCTATCCTTATCTCAACTAGCAAAAACCCTTGTTCCTTCCTATTATTGCTTATACTCTCTCTACAACAAAATTAGAGATAAGGGCAAAATAGTTTCTGCCAGGTATCGAGGGGGTGGTGGGGAGGAGATGGAGGGGGTGGTGGAGGGGGGAAGAAATGACCCAAACATTGTATGCACATATGAATAAAAAAAAAAAGATCTAGGTGAACATTTTACAGTCAGCTATATTGTTTGTATACTTTTAAAGTCCAAAAGAAAAGGGGGAGGGGGCTGGCAGAGTGGCTCAAGTGTAGAGTACCTGCCTAGCATGCATGAGTTCCTGAGTTCAGCCCTCAGTACTGCCAAAAGGAAAGCGGGGGGGGGGGGGTGGAAGACTTCAACATGCACTCTGATTAAGAGCCAGTATGTTAAAGTTATCAATGACTATTACTCTTTACTTTTTTAGAGCTATACACTGACATATTCAGGGACTGTGTTCTTTTCTTTACAATGGCTCTGCCTCCAATTCTACTTAGCAACATGCATGCATTATTGATAAACAGGAACCCATCATCACAAAATATTAACAATAATGAAACTGTACTCCAGTTACACTGGCCTATATTAAAACCCCTTTGGATGCTCCTTGATATTCCAACTTAAAAGGCCCCCTGGCTCTGAAGCCTGCCTGCCTCACATACACACTTACTTGCTGAGCTGTCCACTCTCAGAACTCCACTATGTGATATGTCCTCAGAGGCTTCCTCTACCCTTCACTGCAGGTACACTGCCAACCACTGAGTCATCTCACCCAGAGCACTCTGTATTCTCTACCATACTTTCTTTCGTAATATCAATAGCACAACTATTCATGTAAAAAACTTCATATTTAATTTTCAAAAACAATGGATTTTATCTCCAAGTTTTCTAAACTGATTTTCTTCCCTTCATTCTTGTCAACTACAAATTGAATGCAACTTGGGTTGAACATGACATTCTAGGAACTAAAGGCCTCATATTCTATTCCTCTGTGAAACAGACTTAGATTAACATAATCAAACTCTGTCTATTTTCCCCTGCCTCTCTCTCCATTCCAAAGGGTTGCACAATTACTCAAGGCTTGTGTTTCTCACTGTATTATAACAGAACTGTGGGTGACAGTCCTATTTTTTGTCACTTCTCATACAGCATTTAGATGGTATTCAAATCAGAATTTTATGTGTTTGAGGAATGGAATGAGACAAAACAATTGAGGAAATGACAAATATTTTAAAGACACAATAATCCTATGTAAAAAAGATTAGTGGCCAAAAAATGTTTTTGCTAAAAGGCTCACTGAGAATGGAAACTGAAAGCCTTTTAAAAGGTCAGAGTTTTAAAGGAAGCTACTATTGAGGGTCTTGGGTTATGCCTTCTTGCTATGTTTGAAGACAAACATGCCTTGGTCTGGGGTATAGCTCAACAGTAGAGACCTTGCCTAGCATGCACAGATCTTGGATTTAAAAAGACAGACATGTCTTTAAACATCTGTTTCTCTTCCATTCATTCTTGGCTGGAATCCTTTTAGAACTCAGCAGTTCTAGAATTTTCCAAGCCATGAACACAAGAAGAAAATGTAAATAACCCACATTTTAAAATTCCTTACCTATCTGATGTTTCCTCCCTCCGTCTTCCCCTCCCTTTTTTTTTTTTTTTTGGTGTTACAGATAAAACCCATGATCTTGCATGTGCTAAGCAAGTGCTCTATCACTGAGCTATACCCCAGCCCATATGTTCCCTTTCTTAAATACTGCTTTCAAACCTCAAACTCTTCTCCATTCTAAACTCTCACTCCTACTGGGCCAGTAGCACCTGCTTCAAAACCTAAGACCAACCCACTTCTTCCAACTAATGTATTCTAGTATCTGTCAAGGAAACTGGGTGGTTGTTTTAAACATACCTTATAGCTAAAAACACTAGCATATACCCTGAAAGAATGATTCTCTTCAGTAGTGTAACCTAAACTCTGGACCCTAAAGTGACAGCTTTCAGAGCAGAAGTTCCTTAGCCTGAGTAGAGCTCATTTATCCTCCATGACTGCCTGTGAGGAGATGTTTCTCAGCATTCAGACTTGTATTTCTCTTGCCTACTCCTACCCTCCAAACAAGGAGGCTCAATTTGAGTAACTACTACCCTTGAATGCACAGATCACATATGCTTTTCAATATACTATAAACATCTCATCAAGGTCTCAGTTACCAAGGTGTCAACCCAACAACTGAGAATGGAAAAAGGGACAAAAGCTCATCCTAATTTCTGATATTGAATGTTGACTGCTTGATGAAAATTTGAGGGAGGAGGAGAGAAGTTGTAAGACATGATTACAAACAAAACTGAAATTTTGGCTACTAATTTTGTTAAGGTTAACAAGTATTAGAGAACAAATCAGATGCTAATTATTGAAAAATAGTATTACACAGTGTTAGTGTGAATGGTCAGAAACTTCAGGTGAAAAGTGTAACCTCTAAAAAACAGTTTTAGCACTACATCTAACACCTCAATCATTTGAACAAAGAACTTACTGGTTTATTTCCAAATAAGAATCCTTTATGCCCACTAATGTGCATTTTCCCATAAATGGAATTATTTACCTTTTGACGCCGCTTCTCTTTCCTTTTATCTTCTGTGTCCTGTAGCATTTTTTCTTTCCAGAGGTCAAAGAAATAGGAAGGATCAGTATAGAACTTCAGCCCATCCTTCTTATCATCTCTGTGAATCAATGTTTTACAAGTCAGAGGAAAAAAGATTGTTAGATACTTCAATTTTAACTCATGGGATTACAAAATCTACATGTGGCATCTTATATATTAGTTTCTAAATTTTCCTATTTGAAAAATGTGGAAACATGCATGAACAGCAACCAGTTCTACAATAATTAGGTTAAAGTACATTTGAAAACTCAGAATTAAGTATATGAAATTCCTCTGCAAAAGTTACACTATAGCTTATAAACAGCAAATTTTAACAGCTCAATTATTTAAGGAAATTCTTTGCTTATTCCAACAAGGGGCTAAATAGAGATGGATGGATTCTTAGAACAAAAGCATCTTCTTCTACTCTGGAGCTTAAATAAATATGATAAAAACTATGTAAATGTACTGTCCCTTTTTCAACAATTATAAATTCAATTAGGAGAGAAGGAAACAAAATGTTCATGGGTATAGATGTGATCAGCAAACAAAATGATGAGCTGTGTATTTCAAAGAACCTTCATCCACTTGTGACTATTTCAGTTTCAAATACTGCTACAGTTACTGTGGTCTAAAGAATATTTCAAGTCCTTATATAAATTACTTGTTTATCATATAACTGATAATGACACAGGCACTATGAATACAAAGATATAAAAAAATCAATAGTAATGCTCAAAACAATCATGATGCATAGTAAACACTATTCTACCAATACCAATGTTTAAAGAAGCTTGTGGCCTGGGACCACCTTTAAGAGATCTACTGTATGTTAGTATTGCAGTAGGTCATTTAAGGCACACAGAAAGAAGCAAAATCAGTGAAATAAGTACATATAGCAAAAGAGTTTATAACCAAACAATAATAAAAAGCTAACCCAGGAGGCAAAAAACAAAACAAAACAAACAAAAAATCTGAAGCTCCATCTTTAAAGCTCCTGCCACATCACCTCCTGTAGAACTCATTAAATACTAAGGCCCACTCTTGTGGTGAACATTGTAGTTAACTGTGTCTGAAAATTAACAAACCAGAGCAACTCACTACATAGTTTAACCTTAAAGTATTTAACATCCTTTTTTTTCCCCTAGTTTCCAGATTTGCAAGTAATCTGCTTGCTATTATTGAGAAAAAAAGAAAATGTGTTTTCTCAAGAAACTAGGGCCTTGACTGTAAGAAAAAGTATAGAAAAACTGAGTTAGGACCCTGCTGAAAAGTTTAAACTGTACAAAATACACAATCTTAGTCTTAAAAATGAAGTTAATATTCTAATAAAGGCACAAACTCACTAAAGTAATAGAAGGTTTATTTCTGGCATAGGATATAAACAGATATATCCTATGTTTATAGCATTTAACTACTTAGCTTTTCAGCTTTGGTAACAGTGTCATATTTAAGTTCAAATGCAAAAGTTAATGTTTTATGTACCCCAACCATTGTTGTACAATTGAAAAATAGACTTGGACTAGCACTGCTATTCTTAAACACATTTTAAAAATGTGCTTTATTTTTCATAAGACTGAATATATACATTTAATATATATATAAAAGTCAAATCATTTTTCACATGATTAAAATTTTTTATCACCACAAATAATCATGATCTTGATTAATCAAACATAGGTGGCTCACTGGGTTTTCTGGGTCTTTTTCTTTAATATGGAATTTTTAGTGAGCTTTTTTAGTAACATCAGGTAGAGGATTTTAATAAGCAAGCCCTCATGCTATACTAGTATACTGAGGCTACTAGTGGTAAGTAAAACAAACTGCTCTGGGAAAATGCTCATCCAACAAAAGCAGCCACGAGTTAAAAACTAGTATTATGGTCTTCTATCCATGCATATCATTAATGTTTTAAATGTGCACTTTGTAACCTCCATAAAAAGGCAGTTGAGGCATGTTGTTCATCTCCCATCAGTTTCCAGGTGGGCTCTCAGATTTGTTTGAGAGATTCTCTGTCTGGCAAAAAGCAAGGGTCACAGTTTGAACTGCCCTTTACTGGCAAAGCTGCAATAAAGGGTAGCTACGAGTCACTGTAGCAGTCACAGAGGCAAAGAACTCCCTGAATTTTCCAGTCTTCCTGGGAACATCAGCTGCAGTGCTGACCCTTGGGGAGTAAGGGCCACTGGCCACCACCACCTGTGTCCAGCAGATACTAGAGGAGTGGGCTCCACGATGGGGAGTGTGTAACACAAAGAAGGTCAAGGAAGGGCAGAGGGACAAAGTCTGCCATGGGAGACAAGGAGACAGTATGTGAAAGGGAGATGGGAAAGGGGTATGGGAAGAAAGCGTTGTGACAGGAGGCAGGAGAGGTGTTTGACAAAAGGTTGCCTCTTCATATTAATTTCTTGCACTATTTATTTTCTATTCTTTTCCATAGAGTTTGGTTCTGAAAATGTGTCCTATCATTTTAAAGGTAACAGAAGGTTAATTTTAGTAACTATTTTCACTCTTAATAACCCTTAGTGCTGCAGCACACATTTTTCTGAATTAAATAACAAATGTCTCCATGGTACCAAAGTGCTGAGGCAAGTGTTTTGCTGTTTCGTAAATGAACTGTGCCATTCCTTTCAAACTAACTTTGACTGTAAGGATCCACTACACATCATACTGTTATGTAATGTGCCCGCCTCCACCAAAGTATGAGCCAAAATTAGAGTTCACACTTCTCCTGGTAAATGTATCTGTATCTTGAAATGACCAAAACTTTTAATACTTCAGTACCAGTAACTAATGCCATTGGGTATAATTCTGCAATTATTGTTTTCAAAGTTTAAAAAATTCTTTTTTGACAAAATTGAGCATCAAGGGTATTACTGTCCAATGTATCACATTTCCAGCTCTAGCTCTCCCTCAACCTCCACGGAGAAGGCTCTGGAGACACTGGAGCCATACCTGTAAGGTGTTAGGATGTCCAGAGGTGGTGGTTTATCACTCTGGTTGTAAATGTCAGCAACAGGATTGGGAATGCTGTTCTTTGAAACCACCTGCTGGTCTTGGATGGTGGAACTTTTGAAAGCTTTTTTCATGTTGATATCCTGTAGTGACACTATTTAGAGAAAAGTTCCCTAAGTTGAGTTACACAGAAATATTTTATTTAGAAATAAGTATCATTTGATTTGCAATTATAAACATCTCCTGGAATAACCAAATAATGGTTTTTATTATTCATTTAAAATGATGCCTAAATAGAATGTACATTCCTTCTCCCTTAGAAATAACAGTTTTCTCTATGAAATGATGTCAAATTATGGCTTTTCTTCTGCTGTAGCAGTATAATTATTTCATTGAACCTCATAGTAGAGCATCACTGTTTATTTAAATAGCACTTCTTAGAAAGGAATATAGTTATGAATATAGTAGGCATGTAAATACTTTTAAATTTGGTTATTCTGGCAGGGTGGCAACACCACTCAAACAGTTAATACCAGTTTAAGTATAAAACCTATGGAAAACACTTGTGCAAAATTTGCACAAATATAAGTAACATATTAAGGTTTTCCAACACTGACATTAAGAAAAGACAGTAAACCTTCTCAACAGATGTATAGTCCTACAAATTAAGTAGCATGATGTACAAAACAAAGCTACAGAAAGGAGTCAGGTAATCCGGGCTGGGTATACATCTTTCTTGTGTTTATACAACATTTTCATTTCATTTTTTTACTCATTTGACCTCCACATAAACTTTAGGCCACTGAAGCTGTGATTCAGGTGTGCTAAGTGACATTTCCAAGATCTTCCAGCAAAGTGACAAGCCCAAAACAGGCCACAGACTTCCTAGCTTTCAGGCAAGAGTCTCTTCTACTCTAATATCCATGCCAAGGAAAGTAATTAAGATAAAATCTTGATTGGAGAGGGATTTTAAAGATATGAAATACATGTAAAAATCTCATAAAATTTAATCTACAGACTAATAACCTTTTTCAGCATAAAGTTTATTATAAGCATTTCAATTCTAAGAGACAGCAAAAACCCCAAGAAAGAGGAATATTAAAAATGACTTGTAATGCCAGTTTGAAAAGTGAATGGTTACTTCAAGATGCTAAGAATTCCATACTTGAATGGGTCAGTTATTAAATTTTATTTTTAATTAAAAAATAAATTAAAAAAATCTGGTTAAAAGATGTTTTAGCTTCCTATTTATTGCTGGAAAAGTCAATAGGCACATTCATTATGAATATTAACACCGACTTATTTCTGACCTCTGAAAAGGATGTGAACATGAACATTATTTTTTTTAAATGATGAAGGATGAATTCCATAGATAATTATTTTTTTAAAAAAATAAAAGCTTATTTTTATCTATATTACTATATAGGCTTAAGTAAAAACAAATCAGATGCTGAGCTCTCTTTTGAAAACAACAGGAAAAATTCTAATTAACATTATATAAAGATAAAGATTACTTATAACTTGATTATTTTTCTCAAGGTAAACATGAAGTGGTAAATTTTTTAGATTTTTCCAGTCTGATTATTCAAGATACTGCAAGTGAAAATTTCAAAACAATTGATTTAAATTTTGTTGAAATTGCTGTAATTTCAGGGAATGTAATCAAAATGATTATAAATTAATTTATTCAATGGTTGTCAATATTAACATTATTTAAAAATATTTAGCTCAAAAGCTTTCAGTAAATGCTATTTCTGCAAAGGTTAATGAACTCCTCCCCACCATGTATGGGGTTTGAACTCCATACTTCAAGTTTGCTAGGCAGGTGCTCTACCACTTGAGCCAACTGCCTGCTTGTTAAGAAACTTTTTTAATTGGTAGACTCACTGAGATTATTCACAGGCATCAACCCTAACTAAAATATCAGATTGAAGCCTTCTCTGCAACATGATATATCTGTGAACCTCCCTCTTAGTTGTATTATCTCTTTGGAGTGGTTCTGTGATTTTTAGGTAAGAAAGTATTTTTAAAATAACTACCAGTAGCCTATAATTGGACTTCTAGTACTGAATGCATGTAGAGAAGGATTTAAAACAAATACTATATCTGTAATTTGGCGTATGAGGTAGATAAGATACGAATCTTTTCATCACTAATTAACCCAATGTTGTGAGGTTTTCTCTCAATACTCTTCTGGGAAAAGACAAGATGTCAGCACACTACTCCAAGGAAAAAGCATTAATTACACTGCAATTAATTACTACTGTCTTGTCAACAACCATGTCTATCTCACTGCTTTCACACAATTACCTACCCTCTTCCACTGTGGAGTCCAGCTGAGTGACTTTGACAGCAAGGCGATCAATTCTGTCTTGAAGAGAATTTGCTCTGATGTAGAAGTTGTTAGCCTCATTAAACAACTCACCAAATATGTCCTCAGCATGTTTGCCTGTAGAAGAGAAGGAAGAGAAAACGCCATCTGCTAAGGAGCTGCTGACACGCCTCCATACAGCCACACCAGGGCTCATTACTGTCAACACAGGGGTCTTATGCAAATGAGTGTAAAAATAAAGTGTCACGGTCAAGACCTGTACAACTTTAAATATTCCAGACAGTATAGAATCTTTACTGCTGCATGAGCTGCTACTCAACTTGTTTCCTACTAAACGCAACTTTATTGGAAGAAAAAAACATTTCTCATTTCGCATGCAATTAAACTTTCTCTGTATTCTTTAAGATAATTTAGTAAAACATGTTGGTCTTTAAATTTAGGGCTTTACCTCATTCAAGTCAAAAACATTCAATATCTTACACTGTACCTGACTCTTTCCAATGACATTAAAATCCTCTAATTAATATTTGGAAATCTAGATACACAGTGCTGACTCTGGCACTCTCTAAAAATCAGTACTTTGAATTAAATTTTTCTGTAGGGTTCACTTTTACATTCTTGTGAGTTGTAGATATAACTAGCACTCTTCTTAAAATGTAGTCAACATTTCTGAAAATTTAACAGGAGAATAAGAATCGGTATCTTTCAATGTAATTACAAGTCTCAACAGCATTTCTTTATTCATCCAATAAATATTTAATAACTGCCAATCCAGAGTGTGCAAGGTCTTAACTTCTCTAAGAGAGCTAACTACCACTTTTTATTTTCATTTTCTATTGATTTATTTCCCAAGTGAGAAAGAGAACCTGGACATTCCTGAAAGAAAATTTCACTGTGGAATACTACTCACAGTTTAATGGTGATTTGCAGGTCACATAATACATTCGTTACTTGTTTCAATACTTGTTGCTGGAATCCATGAGATTGGGAACGCCACAAGGGCAGGAGAAACACTCATGAGAGTGTTTTCAAGATGATTAAACTGGGGATCAGAAAGGTAATCTGTACAAATCCTTCGGTAAGTTGTGGGAGACCAGTAACTAAATAGACTGAGAAGAAACCTTGACGTGAGCATGGCCCTCTCAAGGCCCCGGCATGAAGGAAGTGAACAAGGTTCAGCAAGGCTGCCTTGCAAGAGGGAGACTGAGGCAGTGGAAATACATCTTGATATGAGCACAGCCCTGTCAAGGGCCTCTTGGCTGACAGGCACGGACCCAGCCAAGGGGAGGCGAGGTTCAGCAAGGCTGCTTGCAAGAAAAACAGGACACGCTGACCTAATCAGGATAGTCTGTATTAAATAGCAACATACCACAGCTGTGCTGTTCCTATTGCCTACGTGACTGGACCCATGAGAACTCAACCAGCATTTCACCCCACTTTCCCACACATGCTGTATCATGCTGTATCCATAAATGCACTTGGAGGCACAGGGCGTTGTGGCATCTCTCATCAGAAGTGTTGGACCCACCTGACCCCAGCTTTTCTCTATGTTTGTCTATGTGTCTTTTTTCTAATTCCCAGTCACTCCCAGTCAGGTCAAGGGACCTGCTCATGCTGGTCGTGAGAGTGAGTGACAGAAACAGATGAAAGAAAAACTTAGTTCTTTGCTTTTTATCATATACCTCACTGAACTACCATGGCCACAAAATACAAACACTATATCCAGTTTCTTAAAATATTAAGTATGAAATTATCACTGGATCCAGGAATTTCATTTTTGAGTATGTATCCAAAGGAAGTGAAAACAAGGACTTGAAGAGTTATTTGCACCCCCATGTTCACAGAAGCATTATTTATAATGTCAAAGAGGTGGAAACAACCCACATGTATCTCAATAGATGTATGAATAAATAGAATAGTATGCAACCTGTCAACGTTCACTTGGGCATACAATATAGTCCACTGGCTTCCAACCCTCCCCCTGCACAGGTGTCTCATTTCTGTTTCAGGCAGTCCTCTTCCTGACTCTATACTCAAATAGCATACTACTCAACATCAGGTGGGTGTCTAGTAAGCAACTCAAGCATCATGGTCAGTAACAGAATTCCTCCTTTCCCCTCCAACACCTGTTCCTCTCATCACCTTGCCTTCTTGAAAAATGACAACTCCATCTTCCCAGTTGCCCATGCCACAGCCTTAGAAGTCACCCTTGACTCCCCATTTTCTCCCAATCCACACTTTCTCTCCAGCAAACCCTGACCTATACTCATCTTTGCAGGACAGATCACAGAGTCTTTTTACTCTGTACTACCTGCCTGAACCCCACCCTGATCCAGACACCTTTCCCTGGACTTTCCTATGTACCAAGTGATTGGTATTCCAGGTCTATCTGGACACATGTCCCCCTTCAGGTCATTCTCCATAACACAACACAGTCATCTGGTCAAAACAAAAGTCAGATTCTGGTTCTCTGTATTTTTAGGTCCCTTTCATGCCTTGCCATTTCACTCAGAATTAAAGCCAAAGGCCACATAATGGCTTATAACCTGGCTCCACTTACTATCCTGGCCTCATCTTCCATAATCTTGTCCATTGCACATCCTACTCCCAACACTGGCCACCTCACTGTTTCTCAGACATGCCAGGCCTACCCCTCTTCCCCAGGCATTTACATTTTCTGTTCTTCTGCCTGGACAATTTCTGCCCCAGAAACTCACATTGTTGGCATCCTTACCACAGCTGGCTCTATACCCAAACATCACATGCAAAGTGAGACCGTCTTTAGCAACCCTAGTTAAATCTTATCACCTTACCACACACCTTCCCTCATTCTCTCACTGCTGCAGTTTTCTCCAGCACTTATCACCATGTAACACCATATGTTACCTTGTTTCTTGTCTGTCTCCCTCCACTAAAATGTACGATCCATGAAGACAAGTATTATCTTCTGTCCTGTGCACTGCTCTAGCAATCCCCAGAGGATAAGGAGCACCTGGTTTATAACAGCTTCTCAGAAAAGATTTGGGAATGGATGAATAGAAACACATTAACTGAGTCATCACCTGGCTAACTCAAACCAACCTTTCAGGATACAGACTGGGGCTTATAAATGTCCCCTGGGTTCCCATAATACCCTGAGCGTGCCCCTGAGGGTGGGAAATAAACCTTTGACTTTGTACTGCTTGTGAACTGGTGCTCAACAACTATCTGTTAAGCAAAAACAGACTGTCTAGACTAGTGTCTTCTTGCTAGTAAGTAAATACCAACAAATGCTCACTATTTAAGGAAGTTTGAAAAATGCTGAGCCAAAGAGACTAAACATGGTTCTATGCCTTGAGGTATCTCAAAATTTTAATAGGCTGATGTGTACTGGGAATTCTGTAAGAATATTTAGTATAACACTCTCAAAAGGGACCAGGCCTGCAAATACCTAATAACATTTTTCAGAACTACTGTTTTATGAAACCCATTTGGAAAATGTTGGGTAATTTGTAGATAAGTACCACATTCCAAGTGTGTCATATTTGAGTCTATTGATTCTTTATTTCTGATCTGCAATACAGTGATACAGTCAAATGAAACTAGTTTTTGTTTTTCTAACACACACACACCAGTGCAACTGGAAAACTCATATCCCTTCGCCTTTAGCTATGCATAAAACTACTTCATAAGGAGAGCATACATCACCAAGAAGTTGGAAGTGTATACTGGTTTCTTGCAAGCCAAAGTTATAGCAGTATTCTCAAGGCATAGTGATTACTGTTGAGAACAACACTCTATACTCTCTGCTAGATGGTACAGAAGCAGAAAAGGATAAATAGCATGTCTTCTACCATCAGTTCTTAACTCTGTTTGAAAAGCATGCAACTGATACTACATTTCCACTTAAAAGTTCTCAATTTATAAGGAGACACAAAAATTAAAGACTTGCATAATTAATGTTTTGCTAGCTGCTGAAGGCTGACAAGCGACTAAAAGGAAGGAAGTGGAAGAAGCTATACTTTCTGATGAACAGGAATAAAGTATTACAATTATAGTCTTCAGTTTTGCAAACAGCAACATATTTGAAAAGCTGAATTCTACTCACTCTTTCAATGGCAAGTCCTTAAACAGTTAAATGAAAATAATTCTGAATTGAATTAAGAACCACATGGAGGGAAGTATAATTTATTCATTCATCACAGAGGAAGGTTCCACTCTGGATTATTAGTACCATATGAACTCATTTCCAAGTACACCAGATGAGAATTATGCTTTCAAATTGCCAAACATAAAAATTATGCATATGTTTTTGACTGAACATAAAAGTAAGATTTATTGGAAACAACCAAAGCATTACATGAGTTGTTATCATACAAGGCTAGTACCTAGATCATGGTTTATCAAAATTTTTACTATTCATTAGTCAAAATCAAGTTCCTTTTTCCTTGGAAAAACTGGGCTAATACCAGAACTGAGGGTAGAAAAATACAAGCTGATCCCTGAATATACTGCTGTTCTAGAAAAAGGAGTGTGTTCAGAGATTGATGGGGTATGTCAAAAGGTACTCAAGCACCAGCCTGAAAGGGTTCCCATTGGCCAAATCTGGGAAAATGTGAGCATGAAAAAAAAAAAAATGCAGGCAATGGATTATAATCCACAGAATTAAATAATCCATCACTTCATACTGATCTAATGAATTAATTCATGAATAAGTAAGAGAAAGAAATGAAAGCACTTACAAATCAGAATGCTAACTAATTAAGGCTGAAGAAATTATGACTAAAATCACCACTGCAATACCCACAGCTAAGTGTTTCAGGCAAGAAGAAGCAATAGATATCGAGACTAGTGGTTTGTTGAAGTGCTATGGGAAATAGAACATGTACAATTTCAAAGTGTTATCCCATAAGATACTTAGTAATTACATGGGGGCAAACCCCACATTAGAGAAACCTATAGTAATACCTAGAGGAAGTAACTGCCATCTGTTATGGAACAAGTGGCTATGTGTGATTCCTGAGGAGGACAGAGCATCAACTGGAATATTTCTGTTAATATCCCACATCAAATCATGGGGAGATGTTAGGAAATCAACACCAAGTCACATTCTGCAAAAGAAATCACTGATTCCCTTT